CTCCTCCTCGACACCGCACCCCCGCTGCCTGGCACCGCTATCAGGTAACTCCGCTCCCCCGCGGGTCATCTCCCCCCGGCCCCGCCGGCCGCCCAGCCCCTCTCCCCGCACCTCCGGCTCTGCTCCCCGCCCCCTGCTCCTCTCCCCGCACCCCGCTGCCTCCCGCTCCGCTCCCCGCTCCCCCGGCTCCTGCGCCCCGGCCCGCGTCGCCGGCAACATGCGCGGGCGGCCGCGGGCGGCGGCAGGCGAGGAGGCTGCGGTGCCGGCTCGGATGCCCCCTTCCTCCTGCCCTCGCCCGCTCCAGGCGACCCGCTGAGAGATGGACTTGGCAGGCGTGCTGCTGGCGTTGCTCCTCGTCCTGGTGCTGGTCGTCTCCCTTCTCTCCAACCTCCTGGTGCTGCTATGCTTCGTCTACAGTACGGAGATCCGCAAGCAGGTCGCCGGGGTTTTCCTGGTGAACTTATCCTTTTGCAACCTGCTCCTCACTGTCCTGAACATGCCTTTTACCCTGCTGGGGATCCTGAGGAACCAGCAACCCCTCGGGGGCTGCGTCTGCAAAGCGGTGGGTTTCCTGGAAACTTTCCTGACTTCCAACACCATGCTGAGCATGGCAGCGCTCAGCATCGACAAATGGATTGCCGTGGTGTTCCCCTTGAGCTACACCAGCAAGATGCGGTATAAGGACGCCGTGATACTGATGGGCTACTCGTGGCTCCACTCCCTCACCTTCCCCTTGGTATCCTTGTTTTACTCGTGGGTAGATTACAACAGCGTTTACGCCTCTTGCACCTTACACCTAAAGGAAGAGACAGAGCGGAGAAGGTTTACGGTGTTCACCATCGTCTTTCACTCCACCAGTTTCATGCTGTCGCTGGTGATCTTGTGTTTCACCTATTTAAAGGTGTTGAAAGTTGCCCGGTTCCACTGCAAGCGGATAGACATTATTACCATGCAGACTCTGGTTTTGCTGGTGGATATCCACCCCAGGTAATGCGTGTGTGTTCGTATTCACAGCCCCGGGGCACTTGCGGTAGGTACCCCGGGGAGAGAGGATGTCCTGCCTCCCCAGCACCCTTTCCTGCACCCCTGCCTACCCTGACCACATGGCGAATCCTTCTCCCTCTAGTTTCAGAAGCTGCTTATAGTGCCAGAAGACGGGAGATTGTGCATTTGTAGCCTGCTTTGTTTAAATGTTAGTTCTGCTTGCCGGGTGCTCCCACTTGCCTGAGCCCCCTTTAACAGGGAGAGCGTGACCGACCCCAGAATCAGGGGGACCAGGACTGTGCTCCCTTCCCCGGGAGATGTCACCCTCCGGGGCCGGGGCTGCCCTCCCCCGGGACCTGGCCCCCTCTCGGGTCGGTGCAGGGGCTGCCCTCCCCTCCCCTCCCCCGGGACAGGGGTTCTCCAGCCAGGACCGCGTCCATCCCCCCTCCCCTGGGCTCCCATCTCTCCTCCTCGCTTCTTGCCTTAACCCACCAACTGCTCTTTTCCCTTTGCAGTGTGAAGCAGCGCTGTCTTAACGAGCAGAAACGGAGGAGGCAGCGAGCTACCAAGAAAATCAGTATTTTTATAGGGTCGTTCGTGATCTGTTTTGGTCCTTACATTATCACCAGGTTAGTATTGCCTGTTGGGGTAGGGAAGCTTCTGGGACCGGTATGCCCTCTGCTGTGCAGGTGCTGGGTGGGGAGTACGGCTAATTTTGGGGTTCCAGAGCCTGACAGAGAGCTGGGGCCAAGCCTGCCCTCACAGCCAGCCTGCTGGGCAAAGCCTCGGCAGCCTCTAGCTCTCCTTTCCTCATTGCTGCCAGGTCTGGGTACCTCTTGCCAAGAGCAAGAGGCTTTTAGGACAAGTAACAGGAATTAATTACATGCCAGTGGGAGATGAAAGCAGTTGAAAAAACTCACCACCCTTCCTTGTTAGCACAACAGCACAACCTGAGCGATAGAGAGGAAAGCAGACAGCTTTTCCTGATTAGCTCAGATCTTTTTTTTTTTTTTTTAAAGGCATAAGGCCAAACTTGCTGGTATTGGAAGCTGAAGTGACATAATTTAAATTTGTCCAGGCTGATAATTTCTCAGATAAGCTTTGTGTCTGGAAACATTAATGTCTGTAAATATATTGCTAATGGTGCAGCATGGCCTTGTGATGAGGTGTGAGAGTTATCTTCCAGGAAAAGCAATAATAAAATGTATAGGTAATATCATGCTCCTCAACTGGTCAGAATCATTGGCATCCACCTGGCTGGTTTACACTTTTTTTTAAATAGTCACATATCATTCTCATTTCGTACTTGCATAGTCTTTATACAACATATGGTTATTATTTTTAAATCTTGCATAAATCAGTGAGCTGGAAGCCAGCGTAACTCTACTGAATTGTAGCACCTCAGGATTTAGCTTTTTCTAAACTGAAATGAGTTACATCTTGCTCTTAGTGATTTTTTAAAATGTCTCCCACTTCACAGTGTGTTCAAGATACACTTGAAGAGAACTGACTTCTGTGAAGGAGGGTTCACTAGTCTTTGCAAAACCACCCTGGTGATGGCTTCCTCAAGGTTGCTGCCAGGCTGTCAGGGTCTGCAGCCACACCACCTTACAGAAACTGGCCATCTTTAGAGCACTGATCTTACACAGTCACAGATACATATATACACCACTCATGATCACTGTAATTGCCCTCTTCTTTCATGGGTAGGGGGACCGATTGAGGCCAGTGCACAAAAATGGCAATGTTTTCTAACCTTTAGGTTGACATTTCTTTCAGTTCCCATTTATATGTTGAAAGGGATTCCTGACTGATTGCCTAGATAACTGCATTTTTTCTGCAGCTGAAAGGATTATTACAAATATTAACATTACATCACAGAGCTAAAAGGTTAATTGATCACTGTTCAGTACATTCTGAGTCATTTTCTGTTCACTTTTGCCATAATCAGGATATAATTATATTGAGCAAAGTGGATTTTGCCATCTTCTTTCCATCCGAACATTACCAAGCTCAGCAAATTCCAGCATTGCCACATTTTACAGGGTGAAGATATTTCTCATAAACTTCTAAAATAGAAGTGACTTCCTTTTTCAGGCCTTGCATTTGGCAAATGTGAGACAGTTTATTCTCTGTGTGTGACAAACTGGAACCTCGTGTTTCTCGAGAGAGAAAATTGAGGGTTGATTTATATAAATGTGTGTGTGTCAAGGTACAGCTTCTGTCTCCGTCACAAACACCCGAGGTGGTTCAGTGGTAGAAAAATGGAAAGTATTTAGGGAGAATATCCTCAAAGGCTCTTTGCCTCAAAAGCAAGACAGTGTCCAAGCAGAACTAGATAAAAGGTTATGGTGGCAATGAGGTTGGGGAACTTGCTGCCCATGCCCATTTCTCCATTTTTCCCTCAGTCTGGTTTTTAGAGGGGTGGCACTAAAGTAATCTCTACAGAGAGATCTCCTCTTCTGTTTTCTTGCTCTCTGGCCTCGTGAATCAGTTTGTGTTGTAGGGTCAGTATTTGCTTCTCATTTCAGAAATGTGAATGAGATTATGATCATTAGCAATATATTCGTCTGTTCACTAAGAGCCGACAGATGAATTCCATCATTTCTGATGAAACAGCACTGAAAAGAAGAAAATGATACTAAGATGCATTCAGATGGATATTTCTAAGGCTGACTTGATTCGGCCAGGCCCATTATCTTATTAAAATCTCTGTAATTTTTCTTCTGTTGGCTTCAGTGTAATTATGTTTGGGACCATAATACATTAAAGGAACACATAGTAATACATCTATTTTCATGACTGAAGGATACCTTACTCTTCCTATTTAGTGCCTTTATAAAACATCAATTGTGTAAATATCAAATGTATACTTCTTGTATTAGGATGATACACAGGGTGGGATAAACCTAAGCAACCATGCAGCAAGTGTCATTTATTGTACATTTGTTTATTTCTCACATTTTGTGTCTGGTACATTTATTTATTCCTTTCATTTTGTGTCTTTGTGTGCTCTCTGTTTGGAATTCACTGGAATTTTTTCCAAGCAGCTTCAAACGGAAGTCATCAGGTTTTTAAATGCACTTGCCATAGGAATGATTTCTCTTTTATGCACACAAATGAGAAATTTGTCTGTCAGAATTCAGCCACTTGTTGCAATGTTCAGTCCTAGCGGTGGTAAGTCAGCTTTTCTATGCGGAGGGATCGGAACAGCTTCAAAAGTCAACGCCCTGCAAGTTGAGAGCTCTGCACTTTGGAAGGAAGCCAAAAGGTTCTTCAAGCCTTGAGAAAGCTTCTGATCTTACATCTTCAAACAGCGATGTTTTAGGGTACAGAAAAGGGTTATTTTATCTCATGGTGCTTTTTTTTTTTTTTTTCTTCTGGAATGAATATAGCAAAATAGTATATTCTTGCTGTTACAAAAGGTTTCACAAAAGATGTGGAGATCATAAAAACTTCTGACCCTGTTCTTTCCACCTTCCTGGAGAGTTTGCCCACTGCAGATGAGCTATATGCCAGACATTTGCTGGAATAGTCTAAAGGTTTACTCTCACTTCTGTGGAAAAATTCTTTAACTTAGTTGCAGTTTCTCCACCCATGATTAATACACCCATCTCAACTGAGGTGCTGAGGCCACTAATCATCTGTGAAGCACCAAGCAGGAAACACAGGTCTGGAGACAGCTGGCTGGTCATATAATGATGATAAAAGTGTTGTCTCCTTGTTTTCTTTGGCCAAACTAGTGGTCAGCCAAATGCACACAGAAACTTTCACAGGTAAGTAGATGTAGTTGTGCTTCTAAGCATACTATGGGATTGCAGGTGACACCCAAATCTCTCTGAGATATTGCCATGTTGTTGTTCATACAACAATGGTCTAATGTGAATTCTCTTTGCATATGTTACAATTCACAGCAGTGATACAATGCAGGTATCTGAGGGGGTGGATTTAGTGTTCTAGACCAGGTTTCTGGTGTCATTTGAGTTGCTGCATAGTATCCAAAACCTCTACAGAGGCTGTGAGATGTGACACAGGAACTAGAAGAGACCCACAACTTCTAGGAACAGCAGCCTGATGCCAAGGGGCCTATGCCCAAATGTCTCAAGTGTCACTAGACAGCTGTACTTAGGCAGCTGAGTTGAGAGAGCCTGGATACCCAAGTCACATGTGTCTATCTCAAGCTCACTGTGGGAGAGGAGTACTCGATTATGTTACCAAGGTTTTGTCCGTTTACT